AAAACTATTTTACCCTTTATAAAGCCTTGTGCACAATAGGATCTAGATAAAAAATATTTGATTATTCAATAGATGTCACCAAACTTTTAACTCTCCCCAATATGAGTGTTTATAACCAAATATGTTGGCATAGAGTTAGTATACTTTGGCAAAGGAAGAAAATATCTGAAACAAATATCATGCTATTTCCATTTAAAAAATAAGTATTCTATATCTCAAATAAAGTGAAGTGTTGAAATATTTGGACTTTTTTTTTTAACAAAGGATATAGTTGCTCAGACAGGATTCATTAAATATTTGTGGTGCTCTTGGTTTATAGACACAGCCCAAGCCTTACCAAAGTATCTTGAATGATGTTTTGAGTATACAAGAGACAAGATAAAGAGGACAAGTTTTTTTTTTTTTTTTTTTTAATGAAAATAAACAAGAATAGCAACAATTCAGTTGAAAAGGAGAATTTTAACTTAAGGTAGAGCTTGATAAATTGGAACCAGATAAATCTTAAAGGTCTCAGAAAATCCACATCCTCAATCTGGAAAGGAGGGGTGCAGGGAGAGAGAGAGAGAGAGAGAGAGAGAGAGAGAGAGAGAGAGAGAGAGACTGAGGCAGTCAGAACTGAGCTAGTGGAACCATATGGAATAAACTTTCAAGTAAGGCCCCCAAATCAAATCATATCAGTGTGTTCAAGAAACAGCAGTACATTTCAACAAAGAAAGTTGAGATCAAAAAGATGAAACAATAAAGCTAATAAAAGAAACTGAGATAACTAGATAAGGCAACTCTGGGGTCAAACCATCCATTCATACCTAGCTATTTCTTTCTTTTTATGATGGGTTACTGTAGTTTGAAGGTGGCTTCAAACATATAAACGAATCACTGGGGTCCTTGCCAGCTCTTTGTATGGCCTGAAGCATCTGATTATGATTAGGAATGTTTCATTCATGGGGCCCTGCACTCCTACCATACTTTACAAATGGTTCCTGCAACCAAGTGCTAAATATAGCAGTTGTCATATTCAACCATGTCTCCTGGTACTTCCTGCAGGAAGTCAGATGGCTAGGCAGGACTATGACCAAATACACACATGTGTATTAAGAAAGTCTCTTAAGACTCTAGCCATGTGACTATGTGGCTTAGTGAATAGTAAAAACACGGGGACAATTTAAAGATCATCATCAACCCCCAAAGCCATTGCATTTATGGCGCTCTTCCTGATTACATATTTATCACATAAACAAGAGACTGTTCCCAGTATTTGCCCTCAAGTTGTTAGTCAGCTGCTGACCTCATAATCTGCACAGCTGTGGTATCCCAATATGTTGTCATGGAACAGATTGTGATGTCTTAATTGATCACTTTCAGAGGTTGCGATTGTCAAGTGAGACCAGTATGCTGATTCTTATTAGTTAAATTAAGCCTTGTTATAGCAGAACCAGCTAATTCACTCTAATGACTGGGAAATCCAACACAAATTGCTGCATTTTATCAAACACATCCAAGCCTTTTTCTTTCTTCTTTTTGATTTTTTAAAATTTTGTAGAGACTCTACTCCAAACATGTTTTTATTATACAATGAAACAACTTGTTGGAACAGTAAATGGAACATAACCTCCGCGTACCATATGTATCTTGGTGATAAGTTGGAGGGTGCCATATGACACACAAAGTTTAAATTAGACATTGATTTGCATGACTCTGAGTGAGCTTGGGGGACTTGGTTATATGTGATGGGTATCAGGCCCTGCCACAAATTGCTTGGCCAGAAGAATATTGTGTTCTTCCTTGCTGCCCCCGCAAATGAAGGCTCCTAAGTGGATGAAGGAAAGTCCTAGATCAATGCCTGATCCTAAGAGGCATGTTCTTGGGCTTCCATCTGGCCACTAGTGAAGTCTTCATATGGCACCAACCTATAAAACCCCATTCCCAAGTCCTGACATACTCACCCACTTTGAACTGACTGTTCTGACCTGGTCCTTGGATTGTCAGCTGCTGGCCTTAGTTCAGTATTCTGACAGCAGCAGAGGCATCAGGCAGCCCCTTTTGCAGCAGAGTTTTAAGAGACCTTATAAAAAGACCTTTGTGGGTTTTGCAAGTCGTTTTTTTTTTTTTTTTAATTCTTGGTTTGGACAAATCAAACAGATGTCTTTGTCAGTCTAGTATATTTTATAGGAACACAATTAAATCAAATTAAAGAAACAAGTCTAAATTAACATGTTAGCATCCAAAATACAGAAGGAAGCACAAGGATATTTATCCAAGTATTTTTTATAGTAGGATAAAATAATAGCTAAATACCCAGTGGTAGGCAACTAGCTATGTTATGGTATATCCATATACCATATGGATAAGGGAATAATGATCTGGCACTGAAATTACCCCTAAGAACTACTTACTGGCATGGGAAAAACTAATTATTTAAAATTAAATGAAATATCAATGCTGACAAATAGGATAAATGGTATTTCTCAACCTATCTAAGGTAATAGATATAGAAAGAGGTAAATATAAGTCATAAATGTAGTGGTTGTCAAGTGATAAAAATTTGTAAAGTTTTTATTCTTTTGTCTATTCCTTTTTAATTTTTTAAGTTTTTAACAATGAGCCCATATTACTTTAATAATCTGGTCAGCAAAGTTCTTGGAAGCAGTGTGAGCAGTTTTGTGATAGTGCTTGCAAAGTTCTTTGGCAGGTATTTCAGATCTTACCCAGCTGGGGAGGAGGCCCTCACTTTCCTCTCTGGTCCTCTTCCTGAAGCGTTCCTTTCTCCTTCTCAGTGAAAGGTGGCTCCAGGCCTCCAGTTGCTTAGGCTAATTGCTGAAGTCATTCTTGATTCCTCTCTTTCTTTCACACCCTACATTCACACATCCAGTCTGTGGGCCAGTCCAGTGGGTGGTACGGTATGTTCAGAATGCATTCTGCCTCTCTCCACCTCCTTTGCTCTCACCATGTTCCCAGCCACCATCACATCTCATACCCTTGCCTCTTTTTCATCAGTTTTCCACACAGCAGCCAAAATGATTAAATACAACTCAGGTTGGTCACTCTGTTTAGAGCCCCCCCCGCCCCGCCCCCACCACATTGCACAGGAAGTCAAAGGTCCTAACTGATTCTCCTCTTCCATGTTTGGCCCCAAGATCTACTCACTGTCCTCTCTGGCTCTGCCAGGTCACAGTCCTCTTCCTTATTCCTGGTTGACCTAGGTACTTGCATAAGCATTCACATCTCTTTATCCATGTCTTTCCTCAGTAAGGCTTTTTTTCTGATCATTCTCTCTCTCTCTCTCTCTCTCTCTCTCTCTCTCTCTCTCTCTCTCTCATACACACACACACACACACACACACACACACACATACACACATAATACACACTTGCTAACTTCCTTTCTTGTTTAAATTTTCTTCATTTATAACTGATCATTCTTGAATATAAGAGGATGTTGATTTATTTATTGTTCCCACCCCCAAGTTGAATGTAAGTTCTATTGTGTCAGGAATTTTTGTTTATAATTTTCCTAGCTCAGTTCTAACTCTTGGAATTGAACTATGCCTGATGCATAGTAGGTGTCCACTAACTACTACAAGTTCTTACCATGGCTAGGAAAGGTGACTTGTTGCATTTGTAGCATGATTGCATGATTGTCAGATGACTTTGCTGAGGGTCTTACCTCTCTGTTGAACTACCCGGGTTATGACATCTGGAGTGAGCCTGAAGACCCTCTGTGTTGATATGTTTTGTCTGAATCAACAAGTCTAAATTAATTGGAAAAGCCCATTTGTTCGCTGGTATTAAGTTCAATGTTCCTAATAAATTATTTTAACTCAATTTCTTTCATTTCTTAACTTCACCAGTCAAGCACATACTATATTCCAGAGTCTTCTGGGAAGTGGGGTTAAAATGAAGAAGACAGATGTTGTTCTTAACAGAATTTATCTAGAAGACAGACATAATTCATCAAGTAAAATAAGGCCTCTATTTGTGAGAGAGCTGTTTCCAAGTAGGCACAATAAAACTCAGGATCAAATTCAGGATCAAAATGTGGACTCTCATCAAAGGGAGATGAGGAAGATGTGTATCAACATTTCTTTGTCAGTGTTGAAGATAGGGTAACTTTTTCATGTGGGACAGAAGCAGCAAAAGTAATGTATGTAGCTGTTTTAGGAGGAATTAAGGCAAAGGATGATGGAATGAGCAGTGGGCTTAGAGTTTGAAGACCTGCATTTAAATCTGCCACTGCAACATTATCATTTCTATGTTCTGAAAGCTAATGCTTCACTTGGCTGAGTCTCTGTTACCTCCATGGTTAAATAAAAAGTGAGGGAATTAAACAGGCTCTAGAGACCCTCTGTGTACATGTCTTCCCTGAGTTTTTAAAATAGGCCTTCCCTGTCCATCTAGAATAAATGTAGGCACAAAGGCCAATTAACATGGTGACTTGAAGGAATTTTTTTTTTTGAGTCTGCTCAGTATTTTGGCCAGTATGGGGTTTATCTTAATGTAGTTCTGAAAATCTTCTTTAGAACTTCATCATCTGCTGAACTCTTCATATTTTTATCAACGGCTACTTATCCATGCATACATATAGCTAAAATGCAGACTTGATACCTAGATATGTTTTGTTTGTATTTCTTTTATAGCCACCAACCACCTTATTCCAGAAGTCAAAAATTTCCATATTCCCTTATTTCATTTGAAATTGCAGTTCTAAATTTAAAAATTCATCATTTAGAGTGGAAAACAAATGAATATTTTTTCCACATGATTTTAAACCAACATGTAAGGATACAAAAATTTAAATTATTTTAAGAGTATACATTTTCTTTTTTAATGGAAGTATTCTGCTTACTTGATAACCTATAGCAGAGACTGCAGGGTTGGTTTATGTATTTCAGAAGTATTTCCATGTTCAGAAGTTATGCCACATCCGAAATTTTTTGTCTTCCCAAATACTATATTGACTAGGTGAATTTACCAGCTGCTTTCTTTCTCTTTCTGTTTTTCAGCCTTTGCAATTGGACTGTGACCTTTGCGCCATAGTGTCAAACTCAGGTCAGATGGTTGGACAGAAGGTGGGAAGCGAGATAGATCGATCTTCCTGCATTTGGAGAATGAACAATGCCCCCACTAAGGGTTATGAAGAAGATGTTGGCCGCATGACGATGATTCGAGTTGTGTCCCATACCAGTGTTCCTCTTTTGCTAAAAAATCCTGATTATTTTTTTAAAGAAGCAAACACTACTATTTATGTTATTTGGGGCCCTTTCCGCAATATGAGGAAAGATGGCAATGGCATCGTTTACAACATGCTGAAAAAGACGGTTGATGTTTATCCAAATGCCCAAATTTATGTGACCACCGAGAAGCGCATGAGCTACTGTGATGGAATTTTTAAGAAGGAAACTGGGAAAGATAGGTGAGTCACCTCTGAAGCAGCCTTATTTTCTTGTATGTTAAATCTTTGCTGAGTCCTTTTGCCAGCTATCAAATGAACAGAGTTATTTTTTAAGCTGATCGTTGCGTGTTTTTGACTATTATGATTACTTGATGAGCCAGCAGCCAGGTCCCATTAATTCCACCTACACTACCTTCTGTTCTCTCCATTTTTAATTGGCTTGATACTCCTAGAAACGCTGGATGCTTCTCCAAGTTATCTTCAGATCTTTTTATAATGTGGCTCCATTTGCTATTGATTAAATTGGATTTTAGCTGAAAGAGGAAGTCGACACATTTCTGTTTCAAAACATAAAAATATTAAGAAATTTCAGGATTATGCATTGGTCTAAATGCCACTGGAAATTGTGGCAATTTTTTTACCTACATCATAAAAAGAACAGGCTATTGATTCTCTAATAAGTTTGCAAAGGGCTGGAGAATGTAGCCCAGCAGTAGAGTGTTTGCCCAGCAGGTATGAGGCCCTGGGTTTGATTCCCAACACTGGGGAAAAAAAAAATTGCAAAGCTTCTTGCATGCAGATAAATTCTCTGATCTTGAATACCATACTTGGTATCTAGCACGTTAAGCAAAATACCATATTGAAATTATGCATTACTTAAAATCATTAGCAGTTGGATTCCTGAAGAGAAACGAGGTATAAATATCCTTCACTCAATTATCCTAAAACCAATTTGCATTTTTTTATTACTTCCATTTTTTTCTGCAGCGTGCTGTAAACCATCCTTTCCCTTTTTCTTTTGGGTCCTACTTACCTCATTCTTCTTCCACTCCTGACTTCTCCTATTTCCTCTTTACTCACCTTTTAGTCCCTTTGTTGCATGACTTTTTTCTTCCTTTTCAGAAACATAATCAGTAAAAGGGAGAGAAGATGAATTACAAATCAATCAAATCTTAGTTCCTATGTTTTACTTTAATAAAGAACTATTAAGGGAAAATACTGAGACCAGTGGCTGAAGTTTGAAAGTATGTGAATTTCTCTTATTTGTGAAATGGATAAATTGAGCACCAACTATAATTCCAATATTAACATTGTGATTTTTCTCAAAATGTGCATATTTCCTTATTCAGTATTGTCAAATCTACAGTATTAACTATACTGGAGTATGGTTTTGAGGATGGCAAGTTCCCAGTATCTCTGGATGTAATTTCAATGATGATAAGTATTTTAAAATCTTTGATAGACTAACTCTGCTGTTGATATTGTGGGTTGATTTGAATTTAGCATTTTATGCTTCTAAGCACTAAAATGCACAATTTCATATGAAGTGTAAGACAGAAAAAATGTATGATACAGGTCCCTTCTACTGGTAGTATTGGCGAGAGCAATCCTAAAGGTTAGGTGTGAATCCACATAGCATAAGCTGTCCAAAGAGACAGGCAAGAGAGATAAAAGAACGAGTCTGGTGCTTCAAAGAATTTCACTCCTGTTAGCACCATTCTATATAAATATGACCATTCTCATGAGGTTTTGGAAACCTCTGGTCTCTGATTATCCCGGAGCAATGCAATTAATTAGATATATTTGGTTTTTCATTAGAGTTAGTCCTCAGGGTATCCCCCAGTCATAACTCCAAGGCCTAGAATCCTTTGGGGGTACGAGAGAAGAGCTTAGTATGGTGCTTGTTTCTGTGTGTTTGTATCACGTTGGTTTTTGCTGTGAGCAACACTGTCACAGATGTGTGGATTATACAATAAGAACTGGAGACAACAGCACTGGGAGATTGTTTTTCTACTGGCTATGACGAGAACAGTGTTTTTATAGTGAGAAAATTACTTGGCAAATTTACTTGCTTGGTAAAATTAATTTTCAGGTACTATTCAATGGGTAGAATTACCAAAGTAAATTTTTTAAAGTCTAAAACAATTTTATGATACATTCTTGCTGTTGTTTTTCACTGAGTTCGTTGCGATGTGGTTGCTCTGCCAGGTACTACAACCAGACAGAAGGGGTCAACTATGTGAGTGTTTTAGCAAAGGGTGGAATGGATGATTTGAGTAGAATCTGGTCAAACAATACAAGGTTAACCAAAATATTCTCAAAGACTATTCTCCCCACTTTGATTTAAATCTACATTCTATCAATATGCTAGAGACATATTGTCTAAGGATTACCCATGGTGTTATGACATTCATTGACAAATTTCAACCAACAATATCTACAAAAACTTTTAATGAAGGAAAATATTGAACTTATAAAGCAGAGAGACTAGGAGTGCAGGAAACCTCTGTGTAGCCACTACTCAGCTTGATAATTATCAACTCATACCTGATGATGTTCCATCTATCCTTTATATACTTTCTCCCTCCCCAAGCATTTTGAGGCAAATCTCAGATATCATATCAGTTCATTTATTAATATCTTAGTGTATATCTGCAAATGTTAATCAAAAAATTCAATGTGACTGTCCTACAAAAAAATCAACAATATTTTCTTACTATTATTATCTGTTTAGTCAGTTTGAAAATTTCTCCAGTTGTCTCATTAATAAATTTTTAACAGTGAGTTTGAATGAAGATTAGAACAAGTTTCACAAATTGTGATTGATTGATTCATTTCCTGTATTTCTCTTAACCTGTATGGTTCCTCTTTCCACACTGTTTTAGGCATTAGTCTCATGTCTTCTACAATCTAAATTTGCTAATTGCAGCTTGTGGTATTTCTTTTGAATTAATATTTCTGCATTGGGGATTGATTGGATTCAGATTTGTTTTCTTGCCAAGACCATTAGTGGTATTTCTATCAGGAGTAATACTTTCTTACCATGTTAGAAGTCATTAACAATCATTAACTAGACCCAATAATTTATTAGGGTGGCAAAAATGGTGATATTTCATCATAACTTTTCATTTATTATCTGAAATACTTTATAAAGAAAATGTGCCCTCATTTGCCATTTGGTTACCATGAGACATAAGATAGTACCAGTCTCTTCTCTTTATTTACTGGTTTTAACGCACTAGTTTCATAGCATTTCCCAAATCTACCTATAAGTTTGTTATTGTTAATATTTATATATTGATCAACAGACTTAAACATATTTGAATTCAGCATTTCAGTTCATTAAAATTATATCTTTATGCTAAAATTATCCTCCATTGACCAATAGCAACTTCTTCAAATTGGCTTTGAATCTTTTCAGTGTTCCTTAGTAATGTTAGATCTCTGCTTCCTGGTGTTGTAAGATGTTTCTGCTCTTCTTGAATATAACCTGAAGTACACCTGCATTGAGACTTTTTTCCAAAGGACACCAGTTTCTTTCAGTCATTAAAAAAGCATTACTTTGGCACTTTTGGTGCCCATTGTTACTGAGTTGGTATTAGTTTCATAGTCCTTACAGTGGATGAAGCTGGAATATAAACAACATATGACTTGTACATTATTTACATGTAAAATAATTATAAGTTCAAATTGAAACTTTTTATTCAAATTGTGGGCCACTAGGTTTTTATTCATGTGTCTTTCCACCATGCCAACAATCAAAGGTCCAAGCAACACCAATGTAATTATTCATCTGCTTCATCCTACAACATACACACAAAATCTTTGAGTAAGAACAATGTCACAACATGCTGTGGGATTCTTACAAACATTTCAAGATTGTTTTGCAACAAAGAAGATTATTTCATGTCAGGCGTTCAAGTAGGTCTATACTCCCAGGGTGTATATTGGTTATTACTAAAAAAGAAAGTTTCTAATATTTTCCCCCCAAGTAACTAGGAGCAAATCAAGTGATCTACATCATTGTAGGAAAGAGGGAGTAAGGAATAAAAGAGTGTCCATTTGACTTTAGTTTTGTTGTAAAGCTTTTTTGCTTGGTTAGCCTGGACTTATTGGAACTTGTCAGCACGTTCTCATTTTTGTCATTAAGTTGTTTTTTTTTTATGGAAAGATCATGTCACCATTATGTATAATTTATACAATTTTTAAAAAAATTATAAAGTGATTCATGATAGAAAAAATTACTAGCTAAGAAAAATACTCTTCTTAGCTTCTTCAAAGTAGTCAAAGTCCATTTAGCAAAAACAACTTTCCAATCTAAGGTGGGCATCTTTTCATTTTTCCAATGTTTTTATTTTTGTCTTAAGGGATTCCTAACTAAAGAAACATAAAGTACTAGAAGAAATGCATACACTGTTGAATTTCTTAGAATAAATTTAGACCAAGCATGTTAAAGTTCTTTTTCAAACCAAATGAAACTTAATTTTTTTTTCTTTTTATTTACTCCCTACAATTATCTGGCTTGTCAATTAGGCAGGGTAGCTTTATAGCAAAAGCTGGCAGAGTAGAACAGTAGTTCATTTGCCCTTTATCTTATTATTATTATTATTATTATTATTATTATTATTACTATGGTATTGGGGATTGAACTCAGGGGCACTCAATCACTGAGCCACATCCCTAAACCTATTTTGTATTTTATTTAAAGACAGGGTCTTACTGAATTGCTTAGCACCTCGCTTTTGCTAAGGCTGGCTTTGAACTTGGGATCCTCCTGCCTCAGCCTCCCCTGACGCTGGGATTGCAGGCATGCTCCACTGTGCCCGGCTGTCCTTTATCTTTTAGGACCCAATTTTCTTTAGAATTCTAGGTTTTCTGGGCAGCAGTCACCTTTATAGTTTCACTTACCAAATATATTTCTGGAAAACTAGAATTATAAATTCTATAGAACATTTATTTCTTCCAGAAACCTTTGGAATTAAAGGTCTTATATTCAAGACAATCTGATCAAAATGAATCTTTTTTTCCTTTTGAATGTTGGTATGCATAAATAATATTAGCCTGCTGTTGTACATTTGAGTTAATACATCTTAAGACAGAAACACCCTGGAGGTGCTGTGGGGCTGACAGCTGCACATGGTGCCACACTCAACACTGAAGAACGTGAGTATGTGCCTGGCACGTGCGGATGCGAAAGGAATGCTAACTTTTCTGGCAAGGCAATAGAGAGCTGTCGTGAG